GGCCGCGGAGGGAGGCTCGCCCGCGAGCCCTGGGCGCCGCCGCCGCCGCCGCCTCGGTTCCTTTTCCCTTTCCCCCTCCTTCTCCCCGGGTTTGGAGCCTCGGAGTGGCCCGGAAAAGTTTGGTTCGGCCCGTTTCTTACCGTTTTTCCTCCTGGGATTGGCTTGTTTGCGCCTCTTGCACCGGGGGCCATCCGCCATGATCGGCTGCTTCATTGATAAGAGCGGATCAGATGGCAGTTCGCATGGACTCGGCGCCCTGCTTCGGCAGCACGCAGGCTCGATCTAGCAACCAAACACAGCGACAATGTGGGCATCGCCCGCGCCCATTGAAACGCGCGCGGGCCGCCCAGGGGAGCCGGGCCAGGGCCCCGGCGAGCACCCACCCGCGCCCCCCAACGCCAAAGCGAAACTTCGGCGGCCCCCTCCCCGCCCCCCACCCCCAGCCTTGGCCCCGAGGCGCTTTGTGTTTGTTACTGTTTTGTGTGTTGCACCCGCGAGGGGATCAGAGAGACAAGAATTACATCTTCAAAATGAGTCATAACTCCTGACCGTATGAGGGAATGCACACGGCGGTACAGTAAGGCTGCTTGACTCAGGGCTAGGCGGACCCTTTCCTCCGAAAAGTCCTCAGCCCGGCTCGGGAACTTGGGGTGAGGCGAGGCTTTCTTTAGCTCTCATCTTGTCTCACCCCCCAACCCATTCCCCAGAGGAAGCAAGCAAACAAACAAACAAACAACGCGAAACAACCCCCGGATGAAGCACACTCGGGCAAATTGATAATAGTAATTATAGGAAGCCCACTCGTCCCGCGCCCCCTCCCCTCCCCTTTCGGAGTTTATCGAGGCACTGTCTCTTCCTCCCCGCACACCCCCGCCCCCAAATTAAGATTTCCCGTTTTACGCCGCAATAAGAAATATAATTATAAGCCTCTTTGGACACTGTCCCTCTTCCCCCCACCCCCACCTTCGCCACTTTGACAATATTTACTTAAGTATTTCCCCCCACCTCACTCACACACATGCTCCCCCACACTGGTTCCCTTAAATAGTTCCAGTAGAAAATTGTTTTTTCCCCTCAAGAAAGGAAAGAGAAAGTCCAACCGCTACGGCAATACTTTTAAGCTCTGCTAAATGATCGTATCCTTTCTGGCTTCGAAACTTTTGTACCTAAAAATCGAGAGAGGCGCTGCATTTTTTCAGCTGAAACTGTCAAAACTTGGAGAAGGGGAACCTCGGAGGCAGGCAGGAGAGGAGGAGAATCCCGAAACTCTGTGGAGGTTAGGAAGATGCTGTGCCTCGAGGATTAGTTTAAACAGGGGGCTATAAAAGATGTAACAGATGCAAACTGTAACACAAGGGCCATTAACCCTTTCTCTGCCGAGCACACTCAGTCCCCACGCCCCGCACCTATTGTCTCCTGTGTTAGAAGCTTTGCGGAAAACCTGGAAAGTGAGTATCAGTTTCCACACATTTGCTGAGAGGGGTGGGGAGGGGGGGCAGAGAGAAGGGGAAGTGGATGATTTAGAAAGCACCTTGAATTTAACCTAGGCATAGTGGGAGAATTTTAATTTAAGTTTGACACATTTGGTCATTTCTTGGCTGTCCTATGGATTTGAAATTGTTGGGAAAAATCCTGAAATAAAGAAATGGTCACACAAGTGTCTGGGATGAAACAGCTGGCCTGTCTGTATTCCTGCTGAGACTTACACACGATTGCATATAAATACATGTTTAATAAAGTAAGCTGCTAGTTTTATGAGCATGTGTGTGTGTGAGGGAGAGACAGGGCATTTGTGCTGTAAACTTTATCTTTGCCTGTTATTTCTAACTCTGGAGTTAGTAATCTTGCCTTCATCATTATAGGGGGAGCATGTAAAATATATAAGTAGGTGAGAGATAAACACATTCACGTTAGCCGGGCTCACCACTGTTCCTGGGAACTCCTGCTATCTCTCTCGACTTTTCAGTGCCAAAGTATGGAATGGGATATTTGTGTGTATGTGTCTCCTGTTAAATCCACGTCTATATTACTTTGCTATTTGAAATGCAATTTCAAAACTTATCCTTAATTAAAACCCCTATCCTGACAGCAGTTTTCTTCCCAGCTGTAGTGACCCCCCCACTACTTTGGTAAACGACTCAAGTTCCATGAGGACTTTCACTTCTTTATTTATCATCACAGAAGTGAGGTGTTACTTCACATACATACACACACAAAGAATGAAATAAAGAAATGAAACTCGCTAAGCAGACGAAAACAGGCAACTTTCTGCTTAGAAAACAGCCTTCTCCGGTGGGAAAGGTTGGACTGCCATATCTAAGAGAAAGACTGGCTCCCGAATCTGGTAGGTTTGTATCCACCAAGTTTTGTAATTATTAACAGGTATTTGCCAAGTTTTAATTGCTGAATACAATGAATTGGAACTAGATGTGAAAATAGAGCAGAATCTCTCCCCTTGAAGAGTTTTAATTCCAACCATGTAGTTCTTAATAAAACTTTTCCTAGGCTGAGTAGCAAAAGGCACCTTTGGTTACCTGAATGGACAGGTACAGGGCAAATTATCTGGGGGAGGAAAAAATGAGAGAAAAGGAAGGAGAGAGAGAGGGGATTCGAGAGAAATCGCAATCACTCTTGGGAAAAGCTTGCCGTAAAGGAGCTAAACCCACCTGAAATTCCTACCCACAGACACTCCTTCTCACTTCAGACTCACATTCCCCACTTAAAAGGAGAAAATCATAAAAGGAGGGTGGGGGATGACCATGCCAAAAAGAAATAAAAAGAGAGAAAAGGGGGAAAAAAACCTACCTGCGAAGTCTTGTTTGTAGTTTTGGCCAGAAATGGTGAGAAGAAAAAGCATGAAGAAGCCGCGAAGTGTGGGGGAGAAAAAGGTGGAAGCGAAGAAACAGCTCCCGGAGCAAACTGTACAAAACCTCGCCAAGAGTGTCGGGAGGCAGGACCGTTATTCCTGCGGAGCAGGTTAGAACTGATCTCTTTCGGCCACTCCAGGAAACACAAACCTGGGGACGGACTGACGTGTTACGCCTCTTCTAATGACATTTTTTTCTTTTTCTTTTCTGTAGGAGAGAGAGAGACCCTGAAACACGCGCCACCTATCTTTGTGGGGAGGGATAATTGAAGCGCCCTGAGCGTGAGCATCATGTGAAAACGTGATCGCCAAGTTTCTCTCTGGGAAAGGATCTGGGATAGATTATACCTTGAAGTCTCCGCAAACGCTTTAGTGGAAGAAATGAAATTCCACCTCCCTCCCTTCCTCTCTCCCTCCCTCTCGCCTCCCTCCCTCCCTCCCTTCTCCACGCCCCCCCCCGTCAAGCCTTTGGCATCATTATCCTCATCACTAAATCCTACAGAGTACAGGGCGGAAAACGGTGCACACCATTCACAGAACTGGAGAACTCTGAGGGGCGAAAGTTAAAGGGAAAGATCCCGGTTCCTCAATACAGATCGCCTCTTCTTATACAGATAGCTCTAATGACCAGATTTGAAATGCACATTAAGTTGTGCGGATTTCTCAGCACCGCTTCTGGAACTAAAATTTTTGCCCTTTCTCTTATTATTATTGTTATTTTTCTTTTTAGATGCCAGAGCCTGAAAAAAAAATGCTTCATGTGAACTGTATTTAGGGTGTGTGTGTTGGGGGTGTGTGTGTGTGTGTGTCTGTGTATGTGTGTGTGTGATGAATTTCTGGATTGGATCCCAATACTGAAAAGCGATTTGGCATTTTTAAAAAGGGTCTCTAAGTAAATTAACATAGAGCACTGAGTTGACCGATCTCTGAATCTCTCTACATCTCACGGAGACCTCACTACAAAGTGAGGGAGTATGTGTAGGGAGGCAGGAGGAAAAGGAGAAAGGCCATAGAGGAACTTAGCAGGGAAGGAAGAACATGATATTAAACGGCATGGGGTCTAAGTTTTGGAGTTTATATTTTTTGATATTGCAATTAAAGTAAAATTAAAAAGAAAAGACTCCACCTTTGCTCTGAAGGGATTGGTTATGTAAATATGGAAGGGATTTCCTGGAGAATACAGCTTTCTACTGTATGGTTAATTAAATAATCACTCAAAAGCTTCCAACGTGACGCTTCTGTCGTAATCCAATCAGGTTACATAGGTCCTAAACAAGAAAGATATTTTCCACATCTGGAAGTCAGCAATTTAGCAAGTACTGCACATTATTAACCAATTCAGAGCCCACTTCCCAGGGGAATTTTTTTTGAAGTTTAAGTGTTCTTAACCAATGCTCTGCTGTTTTGTTAATCAAAAAGCTGGTTTACACTGCACATAATTGGAACTAATATAGAAGTAAATAAAGACAGCCAAATTTGAGGATGCTGAGCACAGGCATTTATCGGAAAAGGAAGAAATCTCTTAGCCTCCAATGGTTCAGGCTCAATTTCTTAAACAACTGTGAGGCTTTTTTTTTTTTTTTCTAAGAGTGAAAGTGCTTGAGAACCTCAGAGCACAAATAAACTTCCAGTCCCACAGCCTTTGGGCTTCCTTGCAAAGGTAAAGGTGGAGGTGTCAAGAGGACTGAAGAACAGCCTTATGCCAATTTTTCAGCTTTAATATTGTTAATATGTTACAGCACCCTGTTTTCAGTCTGATGAAATCTGAAATAAATAACACCCTGATCCAACACTAGACTTTAACTTATATTAAGATAAACTGCTTTGAACTGTGCTTTGAATGTGTGCCTAAAGCAAGACTTTGAATGCAAGAGTCACTGGCAATTGCACTTAGAGGAGGGAAAAGCCACCACATGGGTTGCCACATCCACACTCCCAGAGGTGCATGGCTTTGTATTTTGTATGTTTATTTTGGAGGGGGCGGGCAGTAGCCACCCAGCATGACCACAGCCAATTCTTACTTCAGAATGCAAGAAAGTAAATTTTCAGTTGGTTACAGACTCCCCTCTTTCCTACCTTGAGTATTTTTTACAATGAAAGTAGTTGGGTAAATTAATCTTGTCCCCCATCCCATTGCAGATTAATTACCTATAGAGGAGCATTGAAGACCATCAGTCTAAAAATTAACAACAAAAAAATTAAAGTTTTCCAACATGGGTCAGGCACAATCTGAATTTTATGTTTTACATTTCTTTTTAATATTATTTATCTATATAAATATGACTTATCAAGTTCCACCTTGTGATTTATTTCTATTATTAATTTCCTTTTTGCTTCCTCTTTTCACTTTCCCCTACGTTTTTATTTAAAAATTTCCAGCCCAGCTTTCTCTAGAAGCTTGGGTGTCTTGCCTCTGCCATTTCTAGGAAAAAGGTGCCTCTTGCATGGAGTGATTTCAGGCAAGACCCCACCTCAGGAGCCCAGGTAGCCACTAGGAGCTTAGAGCCCAGACACACACTCACTAGTGAAAATCTCAGGTAAGAGGATCCAATCGAATGGCTAACAAATCACTTGTCTTTATTATGTATATTAATGTCAGGCTGCTTAGGATCTGAGTTTAAAAAAAAAGAGAGAGAGAGAGAGAGAGAGAGAGAAAGAAGTATTTGCATTAAAAACACCTAGTCATCTGATTACTCTGGGCTCAGTAATTGTTCAAGTGACAGGATGCAGACCCAGCACTTAGCACTGGGAGTTCCGACGTGCAAGTATTTGATCTGGGGTAAAAAGCAATCTTTCACGTTTTCATCAAGGTGGTATATTTGGATGGTGGCACGGGAAGCGTCCCCGCGAGGGGTGAGCGAGCCGGTGCCCTCTGCCCTTGCCTGGCACGCCCCTGGCACTCCCCTCCCCATTTGACCGAGGGAGTTCCCACCAAAGCAGAGGCGGTGGGATCGCAGGAAGCCGGAATATAAATTTGTTCCGAACGCTCCTTTAGTCCGAGGGCCAGGTCGGGGACAATGGGGATCGTGGGATCAGCGGGATGCAGGAGCGCAGGACGCAGGAAAAGTCGAGAGAGGACTAGGAGCTGCTAGCTTTCGGCTCCTCACATAGCAAAGCAAGTCCTGCAAATGAATCACTCCTTCCCGGTCTTTCTTCCCCATTAATAATCCATTTCGAGATTAGCGCAGACCAAGGGGATTAAAACAACAGATACATGCAAATGTGAAATAATATTCAAATCTACATTGAAGGGCGAAAATAATTTTTAGGGATTCTGTGAGTAAAACAAACTGCCTCCCTCTGGATTCCCTCCACCCAGGCAACGTGTGAAGATGCACTTTTGTTTTACAGTTCCCTCCAGCCAGGACTTCGTGCCTGTCCCCCCATTCACCTCTCAGTCTGTCAATTTCCTTAACTTTCACAGCCGCTCCCCCCCCTTCTCCCCTGCCCCCAGCTCCGTTTGCCGGCCCAGATGCCCGAAGAGATACAATGTTTCTGCCCTTGAACACACAGGCTGTAGAAGGAATTCGAATTTGGCCACAGCTAATGATTTTTTTTAAAAAAGCAAATTCTGTTTATTTTGTACCATGTGGAGAAATTTTTTTAAAAAAGGAATCTATTCTCTTTTTGAAACGGAATTGATCTTTCATCTACAGGGATTATTCCTACCCTGTGTTGTTACGCAGGAGGTGGGCAACTTCTTTTAGAGTTGCAAGCAAAGGGTGATAAGGGGGACCCCTGGATTGGGGGTGTGTGGAGGGGGTAGGGGGCGGCAGGGGTCCAAGCCAAGCCAAACGGTTTTCTCACGTGCAAACTCGCAATCCAATCCATTCGGAGTTGAGCCGAGGATAGGAGGGGAAAGTCTATTAAAAAAAAAAAAATCAGGAGCATCTCTCTGAGAAGCCCTTTCAAACAAAATCAAAACAGGACCAGAGAATCTCAGACCGTCTCTAACATCCCTGCTGCGAGGCCCGCGGGCTCTGGAATCTCGCACGTCACCTGGCCCCAGCAGGGCGGCCAGCTGAGGGGTTTATTTTATTTTATTTTATTTTATTTTATTTTATTTTATTTTATTTTATTTTATTTTTTGAAGTTAAGGCTGAATCTCGGCTTCAGTGCTTTTTGCCAACCTCTCCACTGACAGGAACCAGCAAACTTCAGGACTCAAATGAGCGTCTTAATTTATTGATGCAAAACAGGTCTGCTTGTCGCCCCCATTTCTCGGCGCGCTCTGTCCCCCACGCCCCCAGCTTCGGTCCCTCCATTTGATCTCAGGGTAAGGCCCCGCCGCACAGGCGGAGAAGCACGTGGGGAGGGGGGCTCGGCCCCCGCCCACCCGTCCGTCCTCCCCCAGACCTGTACCCGCCCGGGAACCCCGCGACCCCCGCCCCGCGGCCGGGTCAGCTGACCTGGCTCGCTCGCCGGCTCCCCGCCCGCCGCCTTGTTTCCGGTCCCCGGGGTCCGCGAGCTGCGCACGGAGCGGGAGCGGCCGCGGCCGGGAGGTGATGCTGGGGGCTGATTACCATGAGAAAGGCTGTGCCTGGAAAAGCCTCCTCCACGCGACTGTCAATCTCACTAAGGCGTGGGGGCGGGGGGGGGGGGACGGAAAGGGGCCCGGTAGGAGTCACCAGAAAAGTTGGACTAAGTTGGATGCGACGCAGGCCCGAGGAGGTGGCTTTAGTCTCAACTTGGAAGGCTTTGGCGTTAAGGGCGCGGACGCTAGCAGCTCGCCAGAGAATTGAAAACCCCAAATCTTTCCTTCCCTCCCTTCCTCTCTCGTGCCCTCCTTTCAGCCCTCCCTGCCCTTTATCCATATTTTCTTGAAATTCTTTCCCAGTTGCATTTCCTGCATTCTCCTTTCTTTGTATCTGGTATCTCCCTTTTTCAGTCTCCTGTTTTGTTTCTTAGCATCCCTTCTCTCTCGCTCTGATTCTTTTCTGCCTCCTTTATGTGTCCAGATTTATCATTTCGTTTTGAAAACACAATGTTTCATATGTAATTAATCTACCAGCAGGAGGTCAGGGACACCCTGACTAAAATAAGTGCCTGGGTCATCACAGAACAAGTTCCTCAGGTGTCAGTGAAAAGTAAAATTATAATGATAATAATAATAGTAATAAAAATAAATATAAATCTGTGTCTCAGTAATCATAATGGTTTCTTATTCTGAATTGTATCAGCTCAAACTGACTTAGTTTTCCTTAAAAGATATAATCTTCCTGGAAATTCTTTCGAATTAAAGCATTGTGAAAAAAATTTTCACTTACGGTGGTATTTTAGCAGAGCTTAACAGAATTTAGAAGTCACAATAGGTAATTTAAAGAAACTTGAACAGTGCTTTTTCCTTTAATGACAGTTTGGAAAGTGTAAAAAATTCCCAAAGCACCCCTGCCCCACACAAAGATTGATCAATTCTGAGAGAAATATCATGTCTTGTATTTCGCACATGCTAAGCAAATTCTCAACTTGAGTTGTTGGGTTGTTTGCTTGGCCAGATCACCTATTACCTAGCAGGTGAGTGAACATGGGGCTGCATATGTTATGAATGTGGCTATGGTTTTGTTTTCCATTTTTTTTTTTGTCTTTTATTCATTTTGAGCACATTTGTTGTTCTATTAAAATTCAGAGTTTGTAGTTGTTTGCAATTTTTAAAACTTGTTAGAAGTCAATTGGACATGTATATTAAGCCCTTTTTAGGCCAAGAAAAATAAAGATGCATTAGAAAGATGCCTTTTATGCTTCATAATTATTAATTGACATTTTATGATGAATAATTAATCATTTGAATAATTTTGGTATCTCTGATCTGAACACATATTTGCATATCTAATACTTGATTTTAACTGTTTTTTTTAAAAAAATTCATTCTCTCAGGACGAAGAAACAAAATAACATTTTAATGTAAAATTTCTCTTCGACATTTGTAAAACTTTATTTATTGAGTTGTACCATTCTTTCTAGATATCCATAAAACTTCTCAATAATTTGTAAATCATTTATTTAGCAATCCCATAGAAACATGTTACAGAACTGCAGTTAATTAAGAAAAATAATACCCTTTGTAAAATCAAGTCACTCCCCTTCCCAAATGCAGAGATGTGCACTCATTATGCACCATTTTTTTTCTTATTGGAATTTGGACATTGATCTTTTTGCTTATGTCTGTTTACACAGGTGACCTTTTTGGTTATGTCTATTTCACAGGTCAAAAAGTTAATATTGAAGCAACTGACATTTCATACATGAATTTAAAATAATTTTTTATTTTTACTTATTAATATATGTGCTGATTTAAAGTTATTTTAAAATGATTGAGCAAGCATATCCCCGATATTTCTATATCCCTGTGTCAGCTGAAGTCTAAAAAAAATCAATTTTGAAAATTAGCCCTGTAGACTATTACCTGTGTGATTACCAGCAATTTACTCTAAATTTATTCCTTATCTACATCGTGGGTACACTAATAATGCCCTTGCCTTTGGGTTTTATTGACAATTAAATAAAGTAGTGCCTGAAACTTCACTCTAGTGTAGATTTAGTGTTATAATGAAAGTTTGAAAAAGTAACATGGAACATATAGATCAACTAAAGACACTATACAGTAATTTTAATTAGTAAAAACAACTATCTACCTTTTAGTATCATTCATAATTTTTCTGTTGAGAAGTGAGTGCTATGTTATTAAAGCAAAGAAATAAAATAAAATCCTATAAAATCATAGGATTTGGGGCTGGTTTATGGTTCTTTAGACTCCTTCAAAGGATGCATAGCCACAGACATAAAAATTAATAGTATTTTTTTTATTCCATTAGTTAAACAGTTAATTTATTGTATTCAATATGGTCATAATTTGGTTTAAAATACTGGATTTCTTTTAGTCCAAATGTATGAACTTGAAGTTTCTCATGTTCTTTAGTAACATATTGTCTTTGAGGGTAAGGGATAAATGTGCGGAAGCTCAGAAGCGGTCTTGAGTAAGACTTGTGAGAAAAAAAGGGCAAACTTACAAATATGGAGACCAGGATTTGGCTGTCAGAGCACTGTTTGTTGTAAGACCGTTCATAATGAACTGAGCATTCCCTTTTGGAACTGTAGTTATCCTGGGGTTTGTGCTAATTCTAAGTACCTATAGTGGGGAAGAAAATCAGTTTACTAAATGGAAAATGAAATTCCCTAGTCTCTTAAACATCCACAAGGCCAGATTTTCTTTTTGTTGCCAAAGCTGAAAAATCAATGCGAACGCAAAAGGGAAAAAGCTATTGCGATATTTAATCCCAATATTGATGCCTTCATGTTGTTGTTTTCCTTAAGACTCCTCAAAACCCTTAAAGGGTCCCTTAATTGTTTCCTTTCTCAAAGGATCCATTTCATGCTTCTTGCAGGTCAAAACTACCAAAAGGGCCATTTGGACATCAACCTAAGGGCTCAGAGTGACCTGTACTGTGTTCTTTTTTCCTTTGTAAAGAGAAAAGGGACCAGAAATGGTTTGTACCTACAGATTGTTTAGTGACCTGGAAATAACTTCATGCTACTTTGTGGTCTTCTTTAATAGTCCCTTCTTCTGTTAAAAGGTCAAATTATAAACTTTGTATGTTACTCAGTTCTAATTTTGCACCATTCTAAGAGAGTATTTTTTTTTGTAGTTATGTTTCAGGTACTTAAATATAAAAACTTTACTCTCAGAAATTATCCTTCTCGTGATAATCACAACTATGAAATAATAACAGGTAAGAAAAAAAACAAAACCCTGTTTTTCTAGGGCCAGCAGTTGTAGATGTGACCTAGAGGGAATCAATGACTTTCCCTAGAATTCAAGTGTCTGGTTCTTCAGGGGCCTTTGAATCTGCCAGATCGATCTTCGCGGCCGACACCATGTACATGTGACATCCAACATCTTCTCACCTTTCACAGATGACCTTCTGAACCCACCCACTCTGCACCCTGCATTGAGACCCACTTTCAGTCCTCCTCGATGACTCGGTTAGTACTTGCTCTTCCCTGTGTGGCTTATTTTGCCTATAGGACCTAACACTCAGGCTGATTTTTCCATTTACAGTACTGGCTCAGGTAGAATGCTTTCTCTGGCTTTGTTGCCTCTGGCTTCCCAGATACAGTGTCTTTCCTAGTTCAGTCTTCTCGCTCTTACCAGGACCCTTGACTTGGGGAAGCTCCCAGGGGCAGGTTCTCGCTGGCTGACACTGGCCCCAGTGCTGGGCCCCAGCACAGGACAAGCTCATGTTGAGTGAGAGATCATGATACAGGCTTATCTGGGAATGGTTTTGATTTCTAATATAATTTCTTTTATTGCTTGTTGACTGGGAATTGGAAATCAATGTACTTGACACCAGATTTTTTATATTCTCCTCCATGATAGCATGCTGTCGTGCAAAGATACAGGCTTTGAAATTAGGTAAACTGGATTTGACTCCCTGCTTTGTGAGTACTAATTTTGTGTTGAAGACAAGATATTAAGCTCCTGTGAACCTCATTTTTAAAATGAGCAAAAAGAGGACTTAAATTTAAGCTGGCTGTGGTGAAAAAATACAATGTATGTAAAATGTCTGGTGCAAAGTAGGCATATCAATAAATAGGAATTTCTTCTTGTGAATTATCTGAAAAATATATGAAGTTAAAGATAGAAAACCAGAGTGAATGAAGCATATATTTTAAGTGATACTCATTTCATTATTTTTAATTATTTTTGTTATTTATTTTAATTCATCTATGATTTTATTAAGAATTACTTAACAGGTTCTTGGGTGTTTTACAGAAATTAATGCTCACTGATAGCAAAGTTGGAAAAGCAATGTGGAATTTCTCTCCTTGTCGTAGAAAAGGCGGTGTGCTCATAATTGTAAGTGTCACGATTCTAACCTCTGAGATGGATAAATGTACTTTACAATTTGATTATGTACTTCCATTTTCAGAAGTCTTCACACTCCCGTTTACAATTGTAGGGAAAAAATATCTTTCCACATGATTCTCCCTGTACGATCTGGTGTGAGAGGAGGCACACTTGCAGCCAGTTTAGTGTGGCTGAGAAGTGTCACAGATCACTGATCCTAGGTAAAAAGAAGAGGCTCTTAACACTGTTCAAAGCTCTATACCTGCTCTAACCCCAAACTTCAGAAGCTTGAAGGACCTGGGGAAGGGGTGGAAGGGATGGACTAGCACTGAGACAATTTGTTTGCAGTTATGTTCTTCCCACTCTCCAGTTGAGTGCTGAAACGTCTGCTTAAAAATTTTAAGAAGGTAAGAATATATATGTAGTACAGACATTGCTTCACTCTGCCGCCTGCAATTTCAGGAGTGGGGTTGTGTCAGCGGGCCCTGGCATGATCCACTGTGTATGTGACTTTTCTACCCTCTGCCCTAGAAAGGAGAGTGTCAGGGGAGGACTGGGCTGTGGACACAGGGAGCATATTGTTCCAGTGGTTCTGCTACAGTGCAAACCAGGCTTCTTTCTCTCTCTCTGGAACTAACTTTGCTACACACGCAAAAAAATTCTGTTCCTATTAGGTTTTTCCTTGGCCATTGTGGAACCATAAGTATGGCTCCTGTGGCAAAGGGGTAATTTTTCTGGGTTGAGGGAAGCTGGCTTACCTATTGTTCTTGGCACAGGGCTAGCACCCTTCTAGACAAGAGGGACAGAACAAAGCTGAGAGTTCACAGAAAATACGTGGCCTTTTAAAACGAGAATGAAAAGAATAAACCCTGTTTCTCTAAAGCTTAGTTTATCTCACTACTAAGTATTTGGAAATTCAGTTTAGAGAAATCAGCCTGATCCTGAGCTACATTATTACCTACCATCATTTAGCATTTATATGGGCTATTGAAAAATATTGACAATAATTTGCTGTCGTCATTGTGTAGCAGTGATCTCTTCTGAAGTTATGCTTCTATTGAGCAGGATTCTTACGTAGTTGAGAGAAATACTTGTTCGGTAAAATATGTTTATAGATGTCATTTGAAATCACATTGGACTTTGAACTGGGGGTACAGTAATGCTCTTTACGATATCCAAACAAAGTACCATCATTTGGAGATTTTTTTAACCATTGCTTCATTTGGGATCCTTAAATAGTAATTTATTTGACAAAGGAAGGTGATCTATCACCAATGTGTCTTTCCCAATCCTCTGGGATAGTCCCTATGATATGGTAAATATTTATTGTTGTTTGTGGAATCTGCCATTCATTAAGAAGCTTTAAAGGGATGTGAACTCATCTTTACTTCACACTTGTAAAGGCTTGAGATAAAGATGGGGATATATGAGGGAGCAGGCAGGTACCATGAACACACAGACCTGCACAACCTCCTTGTTATCGAGTGATGTACCTAGTTATGTTTTTTGACACAAACTGTTTTATCCTTTCTTCTGGGTCAGTTTTACACATGTTCTGAAAAAGAAAATGAAGGAGCAAATGCAGAATTGGATGTGCATACTTCCTTTCTCTTCAAATGGTTCTGATGTGTCTTTTCATGGTTTATTTTTAAGCCAATATATTAAAATTTAATAAGAGGTTTTCTCCAAAGAAGGAAAGGAATCATAAAGAGAGAAAATGGAATGGATTAGTAAAAGTGTGTTTTGCTTAAGGAGGCAAGTATGTAATTGTCATTTAAGGTAAATGGTGCCCTCACATTCCCCTACAACATCATAGGTACATAGAGGAAATAGAGAAGACGGGGAGTTTTGTTTTGTTCCTCCTTTGAATGGACAGGCTCCATCAGCCAATGGGCTTGATGTCTTTCCTGCCAGCAGCTTCATTTCATGGGAACCAGTTAACTGGTTGCCCAAAGGTACTGAGCCCTGTTTGCAATGCTTTCTCCCTTCTCCTCTCTGTCCTTCCCTCTGCTTCAAGTCCTGTTTCTTACTCAGGGCCCTCACCTTTGCTTTTTATTCAGAGGAAAAACTTTCTTTTCAAGACAGCCTTGTCCACAACTGTCAGCAGGCTTAGCATTTAAATAAGTTGTGACCCTAAGGTTTGAAATTTCCACTGTGCTGCAGAAAGCTACCTGGAGGAAACTGAATGTTTACCTGAAATATGTTATGAGGAAGGACAGTTCCATACTATTACTGTCTGCCCACTGCCTAGCATAGAGCCTGGTACATGAGAGGCACCGAAGAATGTCTGTGAATGAATGAATGCATACATGCATGAATGCTGTATGAAAAAGCCAGACTTAAAACAATACATGCTGTTTGTTTTACATGGCAAATAAGAGTTAAAAAGTATTAATATAGGTGCAAAAATCACTGCGGTCACAATAGGATTTTGATATGATTTTTGAATTCTGAGTATAAGATTTTACTTCCAAAATGAAATACCTAAATCATTTACCAAGCAATAGAGATATAACAGTCACTCACTTGCAAAGGAAATTTTCAATACAAATAAAGTCATACATATTTATACCAGGGTAATTCAAAATAACTTCCTCACATAAGCACTGCTACGTTCAAATACAATCTTGCCAACACTTCTGAGTACATTGCTTTAAGAAAAAAAAAATGCTCCCTGTAGCGTCCGAACTATTTAAAAATCTTGCCAGCTTCTTCAACATACATCAGTTATCTCTCTTCAAATCACTGACAAGAATTTGAAAAACTGCTTCATCAGAACAACTGTTACCCTTTCCCATACTCTAGTTAGAACCTGATCTTCTAAAAAGGGCCATATTTACAGCTTCTTTGGAAATTTTGAAACCATTTGGCTGATATGTTTTTGCTACATTTTCTTTTCCTGATTTAATTACTGGGGACATTTGCATGAAAACAGGAGGATAGGGACATAAGACTTTTGTCTTATGAGTTTATCTGTTTCTGATGCTTATTCCCCACCTGAGATCAGTATCTGTTTTGTTACAATTGGGAGGCCAGGAGCTAGACTGGAAAAGATGAAGAAGTTGGTGGAGGTGAACTGAAGTTCAGAGAGAGGAACTCAGGAGCTAGGGGATTGGTGGGTGACATGATAATGGATTTTCTTCTAGGTCACTTATTTACCAGCAGTCTTCATGTTGGTGACACATGCGGTTCCACTGAAAAGATAAGAAAATTGGGGAACTATGCAGAACAGGTGGGTTGATGCTTTTCTAAGAAAGAGCTCAGGCAGTTACTACTCTGTCGTGGGTGTTGACAGACATCAAAGAGAACAATGAAGGAGCTGAGACTAGGTCACGTCTGAACTCTGGAGATGGCCATTGAAAGTTGGGAAGGAGATAAAGCAAAATGCCCCACTAATTTAGACCACCTTACAAATGCTTGCAATTTTTTACGAGGAGAATCAGAGAGGACCATCAGCGTGAATTCTGAGCATCTTCACCTGGCATTCCATGGATGTGCGGGAAGGTACACGTTCAGAGCTGAAGTCATAATCTTCTAACTTTTCACTTTCTCCCACACATACCAGCTTGCTGAAGGGCACCACTGTCCATCCAGTCTTCTAAGCCCATACCCCGGGTAGACTTTGATTCCTCTCTTTCTTTTAGCCTCCATACTGAACCACTCAGTAAGTGCTGATGATCATACCTCCACAATTTCCTCCAATGTGCTCAGATTCCTCAGACCCTCTACACTTACATCCCCACCCTGTTTCAGCTATGCAATGTCTCTTTCCTGGAAGACCATGCTCACCTCCTAATTGGCTTTCCTGTTTGCAGTCTTACCTCGGCCATATCTATTCTCCATACTGTCACCAGAGTAAGGGATTGATCCAAAACATAAATCTGACCGTGTCACTCTTGGGCATGAAAGCCATCAGCAGTTCTCCAGTTCCTACCTGTGTACATCTCGAACTCAGGTAACCCTAAGGAGGTAACCCTAAGGATGGCTGTTTTAATATTCACAAGTATTGTCTTGAAATAATAGAACTTCAACTTCAACTTATCTTTCCCATAGTTTTAGGTAAAATTGAGAATCCAAGAGCCTGGACCATGTTAAGCTTGCCCGGCCTAGAATTTGAGTACTTCAGTGTGAGAAGCATGACGCCCATGAGATAAACCACAGATTCTTTAACAAAGCACATAAGGTCCTCTAAGAGGGAACATTTTCTCTTCTTCATCCTCTTCTCCCGCCACTCTGCAAATGACACATTACACTTTTATAATAATGTTTGCATTTTCCCCCGAACAAACCACACAGTTTCCAATGTTAGGGCCTTTGCCTATGCTATGGCTCTACTGGGAATACTCTTTCCTGCTCTCTTCGTTTGGCTGACTTCTCTGTTCATCCTTTAACTCAACTCACACGTCATCTCCTCCTGGAAGTTCGAGGCCAGGCCTTCTGTGTCCTCATAGCACATAATGCTCTGCACTAAGGTCGTTCCTTTATGTCTTCTTTCATCTGGAATAAGGCCTCCAGGAAGTCAGGGACGTTATCATCTTCACCTTCCACCCTTTGATGAGTTGCATGTTGTGTCCTCCCAAATTATTGAAGCCATAACCCCCAATATGATGGTATTTGGAGGTGGGGCATTTGGGAGGGAATTAAGTTTACATGAGGTCATAAGGGGCCCCCATGATGGGATTAGTGTTCTTACAAGAAGAGGAACCCAGAGATCTCGCTCTCTCCTAGAGCATACACTGAGGAAAGTTTATGTGAGCACCCAGCAAGAAGGTGGCTGTCCACCATTAGGGAAACCAGTTCTCACTAGAACTGCGTCTCCTGGCACCTTGACCTTAGACTTCCCAGCTTTCAAAACGATGAGAAGTGAGTGTCTATCGTTTAAGCCACCTAGTCTATTTTGTTATCACGGCTTCAGCTGACTAAATCAATATCTCCAACTTTAAGTATCTGGCACATAGTGGACACTTAAAAATACTTTTTGAACTGAATATGAATGTAATGGTACCTCAACTAATTTCCATCACTGGACAAAGAACTCCAAGCACATGCATGTTCTACTGATAATGTGTTTAGCCACAGGAAGGCCATCCATGCTTCATAGTCGTAGGAGACCCGAAAGTTGGAAACTGTCTCATTGCATTTTTCAATAACTTGCATTTAGTTTAGACGTGCATTTGCAAAAAAATATTAAAATAGCAAGACCTTTCACATGTAAATATTTTTAAATTTCAAAGCTTTTACATATGCATTATCTTACTTGATCCTTCCAGTAAAATTTCAAGGTTGGCAAATATTTTTATGCCTGGTTTGGAAAAGCAGGAAATTGAGATTTTTTGAGGGAGTAAGACAAAATAATCAAACCTATTTTGGAAGTCCCAATTATGTGTTTCAGATATATAAACATCTTTGTGAAACTGGTAAATGGCAAATCTTTTTATTCTTATGTGATGGATGAGGAAGTAGGGTTTTGAAAGGACTTGCTCAGTCTAAGTAGAAATTGAACCCAGTGTCCTGTGACTTACTTTGGTCCCGATACACATGTATACATAAATATAGAATTATTAGAAAGGAAGCTTTGGTTTTAAGAGAGCACCAGGAGGAATTTTTTTCCTCTTCTTTTCCATAACTGGTCTGTCACTTGTCTTTAGCACACAAAGACACAAAATCATAAACAGTCATTCAGGAGAGTAGTTTGGGAGTGAAACTGGAAAATTAATTTGGTTTATTTGACATAGGAGAGTAGGGGAATCAGGGATCATATGGAGACTGAACATTTTAAAAATAATTTATTCCTTTTGCCATAAAGTCATTAAATTCTTAGTTTTAAGTAAACATAATGGAACTATCTGAATATATGTCACCTACAATTTTCCAGAATTTTTTTTCTGATAAGTGTGAGTTCCAAGAAAATGTGTATTTCTTAGAGTTCTGTTGTTGAATGAAAGGCTGCTTCCAGTAAGAGGCTGTCTGTCGCTTCTCTTCACCCAGGATTTTATACAGCAAATTTAGGAGACGCTCTTTTGACAGGAGAAAAATTTCACGGAAGTTAAAATGGTAGATAAAAACATATTATCTGATATATTTGTGCTTTACAAGATAATGTAAATATGTAAAAGGTGAACTGCTGTCTAATGCAGCAGTATTATCAGCCGATTAATACATTTAAATATGTGATGGATCACCTCATTTTTTAAGCTAGTGGATTGCCTAACAGTTACATACATGTGTCATAGATGTATTCATTCTGCGAGTGCTTATTAACTCCTACTATGCACTGGACACCATGCTGGGAATAAGGATGCAACAGTGATGAAGACAGACTTAATGCTTGACGGCTGGCTGGGAGGACAGACCGTGTGTGATGGATGCCATTGGGAGTATAGAAGGCAGGTCCATCCAGCCAAATGATAGCTACAAAATAAAGTGAAGGCGAGAGTAGATCTTCCTAAATGCACAAAAGGTCAGGTCTTTGAAATCCATCAACCGCCAGTGAAATTAGTTTAAATCACCTGTGACATGTTATAACCCTTCCAGGCTGGGCTAAAGGCATCTTGGGACCTCAGAGTGGGAGGGAGGGAGAGGAAAAAAGCCTGCGTCAGAACTTCAGGGAGGGCGGCCAACGTTCCAATGACCGTAGCTAAAGGGCTTTGGTGCCCAAAGTTCTCAGAGACTGACTCAGAATCCAGGGTTCATTCTGCTGGGGTGGTAACCCTTCTTGCCAAGTATGAGGCAGTGTCTCTTCCTTTCTTGGGGTTCTGCTTCATTGTACTAGGAGCCCAGACAGCTCTGGGTCTCGTGGATAGACTCTAGCCTGACAGGAGGACATTAGAGACAGGGCTGGACAGCCTACCGGGGACCTTCAAACTGGGGGTCAGACCTGGGCGCTTGTTTCAGGAGAGATCCAAAATGTGAAATGGGCACCACAGCAGACACAAAGACCACATCAGAAGGAACTAGAGGTTTGGGGGCTGCCCCTTAGGGGGTTTTAGGGTGACTGGGTACCCCCAGGGGTTGGGCTCTGTGTGGCAGTCTCCCTCTCTCTCTTCAGTGCTCTCTTCGTGCCACCGCTATCCCCTCTCCATCATTCGTTTATATTCCAGTAAAAACTGTTATGCTCAAGTATTGACTAAAGCTTCTGTTTGCAACAAGAACAGTTAGCAGCTTTTGAATGTGGATTTGGCTTTTATCAGGATAATATTATTTTTGGTAATTGTCAGTTCTTTAGAATATAGGTAAGGCTTTGGGGTTTTGCTGCAAAAAGTATGATGCTTGGAGTTAAAACAAATATAAACAAATAACTTCAATATTTTGGTTTATGTATTGACTTGAATGGTTGTACATTTTTTAAACCTAAAACAGAAAAAAAAAGATAGCAAAACAATACAGAAGTCTTTAATTAGTGAATATATGAATTTGGTTTCTTAAGCATCCTTACTCTTAAGATGACTAATGTGCTCGTGCTGTTGCCATGTAATGGATTTGGTCTTTAGAAATGGACCCAACAGGCATAAGCTCATCAGTTGTTTATGTTTTGCTCAACTTTATTTTTTAAAAATCACATTAAAAATGGAACTTTATTTTCTGTCTGCATTTTAGCTCATTCTTATACCACTGTTTGAAGTCAGCTACTTACCACTTGGGCAAGTGATTTTGGCCAAGTTACTTAACATCTTTGGGCCTTGGTTTCCACTTGTATAAATACAAGACAATCGCAGCAAGCTAAGGGGACTATGATTTAGAGCAAACAGGACAGTGGGGACCCAAGCGGCTTGTTGATTGCAAAGTGCTAATGCAGGTTTTTGGTGTTTATATTCACATGCAGGTTATGCTCACGTCGTATAAATTAGAAGGTGGATACGTTGAAAACCTCAACCAGTTCCTGAGGCAAGACATGTGAAATGGCAACAACTAAAAGGGTCAGTGAAGCGCTTGGCTCCTAACCAATCCTGCACAGAATCTTTCCTAACCACATAGTTTAAAAGATCAGGAAAGATAAAGGCATGAGGAGAACTGCCCTTTTCCTCTAACCCTTAAAACATTTTTTTCTTCCCAAGAAACTCAGTGATAGAAGGTTGAGGCCTAACTCAGTGCTAAAGGTGGCCATTCCAAGGACTGTTTAGAGTGTGGTATTTGTGAAAGTGAGGTGTCATGAACATGTACTCGTACCAGACAGAGGTGGACATGATCAGAACAAGCTTGTTCCCAAAGCCCTTCCCTGTCCTTGGCCATGAGTCACAAAAATCTGACATCTGGACATGAAATGAAATGCTCCCTTGAACCAAAATTGAAACTCTGTGAGTGTGTGTGTGTGTGTGTGTGTGTATTTAATGTGTAAAGGGGGAATGAAATCAAGACATGAAACTCTCTCATTGACTCAAGTTCAGGGCCAAATTTTAATAACACAGCTGTCCAGATGTGAGACACTAATGGGAACATAAGGAATTCCTGGATAGAAAAGGGCTGGTTGGCCCAATGGCCCATCTCCTTCAAGTTTATTGCAACACACCTCTCCGTGTTGTCAGCATATCTTCTAACCCCTTCTGCCTACATAAACATGTCCAGCTGTCTCATAAACTCATTTTTTCTGTATGTTTCACTCAATGGACTTATTTGGTAATTTGCAGTATTTTCCATATGCTGGGGCATCTTTGGATGAAGTGGTCCTACATTATCACTACTTCTTCGTTAATTACGTGAAATATTCAATAATAAAAATTTTCAGCAGATATCATTGGCAATGTGGAAGAAATCAACTGAGAAAACAAACTTACAGTGAATTTGTAAAGAAACAACTGTTCTTTTGCTAATCTATGTTTTAATCTTAAAGATGTGAAGACGAAAGTGGAGAGTGATTAAGGTAGGCAAATATAAACACTTTCTTCTGCTGTATTAGTCTCATTAACAGATTTCTTAGCAGGAAAAAAATGCTAAGCTCAACTGATGTAATAAAGAAAAGGATCTGATGTTTTATTTTGGTTGGGTTAAAGCCATATTCCAGATAAGATTTTTTATTTCCTTAATTATATCAATATTTTAGGCATAAGTTTGACTTGAGTTATTCAAAACATTGAATCAATTCTCTGAATCAGTGTAGAGATGATTTACATTGAAAAGTTTTTTTGAAACTTTCCAAGTGCCTGAGGACCAGTGCGCTTGGGGCGAGTTCTTTGGTTGACTGTGGGACCTCCTGACTGGAAAATACCCCTAAAAATTTCCTTTAAGATTCGATTAGTGTATAATTAGTGTATAATTTAGCTGATTAATTAGTGTATAATTTAGCTGAATATTTTGCATTTTTCATTTTTGAATGCCAGTATTTTCAAATTATTTCAACACACATGTGTTGAGGTGTGTGTAGAGATTATACATCCGTTTTAGTCTTTTGTCGATAAACACATAAGGTAAACAACTTGCCCTGGCTCATCTCGGCATTTCCTGGTTTGGAAGTCCCACTTTCTGTGGAATCTCTCAGCACCAGGTACTTCACAAACACATGTGAAAAAAATAAAAATAGTTTGCCCCCAAAATTTGCTTAACTTTTTGGTCTGTGCACTCTTCAGACCTTGGGAACTCAAAAAGCAAAGTGTTATGTTAGCATTAAGGATTTTGCTCTCTGGTTATAACAGCCTATGTCCAGGTGTCAGCACCTTGGTGACTATGGTAAAAGATGATCTATGTGATTGTTTCTTTTAAATTGTTTCCAAGCTCAGATGCATACTGGCTTATTAAAAAAAAAGAGCTGGAAAATATTTAAAAATCAAACCTATTTTCTTCCAAACTTTTCTCTTCCAGACATACTGTAAGATACATCCTGCATCAAGCACAATGAATGATCTCCAAAATCTCTGATGTCGAAGCCATATCCTATTGTCCAGATTAAGGTAGGAAAAATGATCTATGTTGAGTTATTTTAATCTCGTGTGCCTCACCATTAGAGGAATCCTGTAAGTATTTTGTGTATTTTAGGAATTTTAAATTTGTGGACTGTGACTTCTGAACTTTCTTAAGAAGGGAGTCTCAGTAAAGAGCATGCCTGAGTCTACGTCTTAAGGATTTTTAGCTTCAGCAAAGCCATTTACAGGATTCCCCTTCCTAACAACTGCTCTGCCAAGCATTGTATAAAATAGCATTCTTCATAGTTAGATGAGCCCATGGAAGGTGACCAAAAGATTTTAAATGCAGAGGCATGTAACCAGCTACTCATTCAGAATTTCTCCATCTTTCGCATGCACGCCGTGTCTCTGTGGTAGCATCTTGTTGTGTGCACGAGCGTGCGTGTGCAGGCATGTGTAAACACATAGCATTTAGCTACAGAACATGTCACAGATTTCTTTCCTGGTCACCATGCTGCATGACTGATCCATTTCATATGATGTGTTTAGTATGGTTCATTGCCCACTGGTCTTATTATTTAACAATTTGCATTAAATTGAATTTTCTATTTACAGGTGTAAATGGAAATTTTGGCTTCTGAGAATTTATTATTTACTGGCTAGAATGTTCTTGGTTGAATTAGCTCTGCCAATGTTAGGTTGTGTCCACCTGGAATAAAGTTTGGGATACTGAATTAGAATATCATAATAATAGGAACTTGTTATTCTTGTGACTAAGCTTGAGCTACTGAGGCCAGATCAGTATCATTAGTCTAGGAGACATTTACTATAATTCTTCAGTTTTTTTTTTTTAAACATGTGTATTTCTTGATGGATGAGAGGAAGTTAAATCAGTGGTAATGTGTATAAATTACTCAAAAGTTCAAAAAGCTTGAAACCTTTATCACCAGCTATAACATCTTGTTGATAACTGGAAAGTTCTTGTTTTCAGCTCTGGGCTTCCCACAGGCTCAGGGCGCTGGTGCTTATTGACTGCAAACTGATTGTCAGGCTCGACTACATGCTTTACCTATCCTATTTCATTAAATCCTCTATGTATCTTGTGAGGGGAGCATGATGTTTATTCCCATTTTACAGGAAGTGGATGCTTAAGAAAGATCACAGACTTGCCTGCTCATATGCCCAGTGAGTGATGGAATCACTCTGAAGCCTGCTTTCCAGGCCACTGCTCTATTCTGGGTCAACTGTCCTAAGAGCCTCTCCTGCCACTTTCCCCACGTCCCGACTTCCGCTTAGCAGCTCAGGGCTTCAGAACACATGAACGCCATTCACTGCCTCGGTCTTTGTTGTGTTGTTCCGTTCTTACCTTCTCTTCCTAACACTCTTAATTTTGTTTATTTTATTTATTTATTTTAAATCAGCTCCAGCACAGGAATGGTCACCAACAGACACTATCCATACTGGCTCTTTCAGAGTCTGGCCAAACTCCTAGGACGTTGTTGGGTGTTGTAATATTTTAATTTTTAGCTTATCGCTCTGTCTTTTTATTTTTTTATTTTATTTTTTTAAAAGTCATTTTCATTGTCTTTTATTTTGAGTGGGGTAATTAGGTTTGTTCGTTTATTTATTTTTAGAGGAGGTACTGCAGATTGAACCCAGGACCTCACGCATGCTAAGCAGCAGCTCTACCACTGAGATATACCCTCCCCTCCTCTTTTCAAAACAGCCTTATTGAGATATAATTCACATACCATGTACTTGGCCAATTCAGTGTTTTTCAGGTTATTCACAGACATGTTGTCATCACCAGAGTCAACTTTAGAATATTTTCATCACCACAGAGACACACGTTGTACCCTTTAGTCATCACCCTTTTCCACCTACCCATCCATCTCCCTCAGCCCTAATCGACCACTAGTCTACTTTCTGTCTCTGTGGATTTGCCTATTCTGGACATTTTATATAAATGAAATCACATAATACATGGTCTTTTGTCACTGGCTTCTTTCACATCACATAATGGCTTCCGAGTTCTTCCGTGTTGTAGCGCGTGTCACTGCTTCACTCCTTCTTGTGGCTGAGTAGTGCCCTGTTCCATGGGTGGGCCACCACTGGCTTACCAGTTCATCTTGGGTTGTTTCCACCTGTTGGCAGTTGTAAAAAGTGTTGCTATGAACATTTGTGTACAAGTTTTTGTTTGAAGATCTATTTTCAGCTCCTTTGGGGATATACCTGGGAGTGAAATTGCTGGGTCTCAGTTCTATGTCTCACTTTTTGAGGAACTGCCAAACTGTTTTCCACAGCAGCTGTGTGATTTTATGTTCCCATGAGCAGTGTGTGATGGTGTTCATTTCTGCACACCCTTGCCAACCACTTGTTATTTTCTGTTGTTGTTGTTTGGTTGTAGCCTTTCTATCGAGTAAGTGGCCTACCTGATTTTTAATATCTTTTGAAGACTTTTCAAGAAAGCTTTGCGCTTTTCTCTTTTGCACTCTCAAGCACTGGTTTATACCTCTCTTAAATTATTTGTCACCACATCCTGTAATCTTTTTCCTTGCCTCCCTTACCTCCTTCTTGAAACCAGGATGGACAGTCTTACGCCTTCTGTGTTCCCAGGGCACAGTACCGAGGGAGAACGAATGACTTACTAAAAGAATGCAGGGAGCTGTGCAGACAAGGAGCGTTGGGAACGAACATTTCTTTGTTATCACCATTGTGCCAGGCACTGTGCAGCACTAACATATATTATCTCATTTAATTTTTATAAAAATAATAAGATGTTATAGTCTTTGTTTTACAGAAGAAATGAAGCCAGAGGCAATATCTTGTCACCCCACCATCAGGCATGGAGCCTAGCTTCAAACCCAACTCTCTCCCAATTCAAAACCTGTGTTGATTTCCCAACAATGTGTTACAATAGAAAAAACAGACAATAAGCACTATTGCTGCTCATTAGCACTACCACGACGACTTCCACTTACTGGGTGCTTCCTGTGTGCCGTACACCATGACAGCTATTGGGGGAATACTATCTAATTTAATCATTTCAAGAATCTAAGGACCCAAAATTATTAGTATTCCAGACAAATCAAACAGTCATTGAGAAGTTAATTTGCCCAAGAACAAACAGCAGGTAAGCGATGAGCTCAAAACCAGGTATATTTAAATGCAAAGTGTATGTACTTCTGTCAATGCAGGGCCAATGCATCAGATTTCTGAGAGTTTACCTGGTTATCCGGCAGGGTGGGAAGTCAGCCAGGTAGTCAGGCAGTCAGACTTCCCTCAATTTTCTCCAAGTACTTTTTGTTTTCCTAATTGCCACCAATCATGATTTTGTTGGTGTCAATATTTGTATTGTAAATCTATGTATGATGAGAAAAGCACTTTGTGACCCTAAAAGAATGTTCTGTTCACTAATTTATTGTGGTTTAAATCATCTTATGTATATATGTAAAGTATACTACACCTGACTGACCATTTTTTTTAGATAGTAATAAATTGGCTACTCCTGCTTTTATCAATTTGGTCATCCTTCTATCCATCCATTCATCCATCCATTCAATATTTTTGCCACATACTCATTTTTTCTTTTACTGTGTAAATTCTACCTTAGAGCTCTATGAAATACTGCTAAGAATTCATAGCAAAGAGAAACCAGAAACATTATATAACAGGTATAGAATGCTTTAAAAAACATACTCATTTTATACTGATCTGTATACTCTGATTTCAGAATATCTTTCCAGGATTTATAGTAGGCTGTTAAATATTGGAAAACCTCTACATGGCCACGTTTTGAGGGCAGGTATAGGTGGAAAAGAAGAGGCATCAGATGACTTTAAACTTCAAATAATTTTAATCAATGCACTTTCTCATTCTTAATATCCTGTTTTGATGTTTCACCCATCCTTTCTGTATCATGCTCTTCATGCCTTTTTCAAGTTTTTTTTTATTCAATACAGAACTGTGTTACCATTTGGCATATGTCTCCCTTGTCAGTGACATCTTGAAAATTAAAAAAAATAATACCTCCCTTGCCTGCATCCACCCAGGTTGGCTGCCTGTAACTGCCCTGTGCTTCAAAATATGTCACCTTATTAAATTCTGCAAATTGTTCTGAACATTGTCTCTATAAATGTTTTGGAAGGGCTTTACTGTCAGGTCAGCTTTCTAAGGGCTAGAAATATGTCAAACCTGGCAGCCTTACCTTTATTTAAGAGCCAAAATACAAATAAGTAGATTACAAAGCAATCAATCAATACAGCATCGCAGGATGTTACCGTTGGCATTGACCTCGAAGTTCGGCACCCTCATTTTACAGCTGAGTAAGCTCATCCGTAAACTCTGCAGGAGATGAGGCTTTGCCTCCATCAATTACAGCTAGCTAGGTAACCTTGGACGGGCTGCTGTGCCTCAGTTTCCTCATGTGAAGGAGACGCGCTTTTCCCTTCTTAGATAAAATCCCCAGGTATTTCCCCCCTTCAGTTACTACAGTGCCATGACAAATGTGATACGTTGTACTTAAGACTTTCTAGTCCTTAAAAAGCTTCCGACCTCACACAAAACATCTCTCTCATCTTTTATGGGAACCCCTTACATAGTCTCTAAATGTTGGGCGCAATATCAATCCATAATTATTGGCAAAATCATTAGCTTTTTCTCACTGTTGAAAGAGTAAACAAACGAAGATCTCTTTCCCATTCAGAACATTTCTTCACTTTTTTCCCTCCCTGGTTTGTTGTTGCAGGGTTGCTTGGGGATATTAGGTTACTGACCTTTGTTTTTCTTTCTACAAGAAGCTTTCACTAAAGTATTTGAGGGGGGATGTCATATAAGAAACAATGACTCTCACATGCAAGTAATTAAATGGATGTAAGGCAAGAAAAAGAATGGCACAAATTTGAATTGATTAATTTTCTTTCTGAAAACTTGCGGAGCCTAATCTGAAAGTTGTGTGCTGGAGCGCACAGGTTTTCTGAGAATATTTCCTCGCTTTCGATACATGGAAGTCTCTGGGTGAGTAGTAGCCCTGCAACGCCTGGGCAGGC